GTCAAGGACAACCAGAAATGGACAGAGGTTGCAGAAGGTGCGGAAGCGGTGCATGGTCAATAGAACAGACATTGGGTTGGGGCTGGTAAGGGTGGGTTCGGGTCGCGGAATCACCTGTCGGCATTGATTCGCCGCTGACAGAGCCCCAGGATTTGTCAGTCGTGACACTCGCCTAGACCACGTGAACCACAGGCTCACGTGCAAAAGAACACACAACTGCGGCGAATCCCATGCATGCAAGAACGAAAACCCCCCCCACCACCACGAGTAACATAACAACGAAATGTCGTTCTCTGGGGGAGGCAACCCTCGGTTCGATCCAAACAAACCACCGGATATCGAAATACGACAACCTGGGGAGCAAGGCTCCCCGGAACAACAACAACACCAGGCGCAGATAAGCGCCATGGATTACACGACGCACGCAGCACAAATGAGTGCTGTGAACCAACAACCATCTGCGTTGCTAACAGGCACTGCATACCCCCAGCCTTCCCAAAGAGGCTTCCAACCATACACGGTGCAAACTGCACCGATGGCGCAACAAGCGCCATTCCAGGGGCAGCATTTGCTGCTGCAGCCCCAGGCATACTCCCCAGGGAACTTCCCTGGCCAGATCAACCCCTGGATTAGCCAATTCGGCCCAGGTCCAACAACACCCCAGCCAAATGCAGGCTGGGAATCAGCCATCGCGTCAGCAGTAGCTGCTCAGACAGGTCGGCTCCGTGAGGAGCTGAAAGAGATGAAGTCCCTCGTAGGAGGGAGACAAGGGAGCGACAGCGGCTCCTCGTCCAGACCGTCCAAATGGGCATGGTCTGATAACTCGAGGGCATCAGAAGACGCCTGCGACCATTGCGCCCACTGGAAGCACGAATACAACAGAGCACGAAGAGATGCTGAGGGCATCTTTGACTCTCTGAAAGACACAGAGAGAGAAGTCGATCTCCAAAAAAGGGAGATCGAATTACTGAAACACGAGCTCAGAGAGGCATGCGCACTGGCAGACCTCGCTGCCAAACCCATCATGACGGGGGCCTCCCAAGTCAGGGGGAGGGGATACGGTTCCGGGCCTCATGAGACGCGACCCCACATGGGGACTAGCGCATCAAGGGGTGGGGCACCGACTATCCCGCCACCCCGTGGGCAGGCGACCCTGTCTGGGTTGCATAAGGGCCCGCCCTCAGAGGGGCAAACCCATGTTGAGGGGAAGAGGGAGAGCGGTAGGCAACCGATGGCAGACCCTAAAACGGGGACCACTGCCAGAGGCGGTGGGCCACTGAGTACCTCAGCACCCTATGGGCAAGCTACCCTGCAGGGAAGTGTCCACATGCTATATGAGACCGCCGAACTCAACGAGTTCGGCAAAGTCGAAGCTCCAGTCGACATAACAATTGACCCCAACTTCCCCATGAGGAGAATAGCGGGGTCAGAAGTGGTGCATGGCGCCGCATACGCTTGGTGGACAAGCATGAGTGGGAAAGAATTCGTACACTGGTACGAACAGGCCGAAGCTGCCTTCAAAAGCGGCAAGGTACACAGAACCCTTCATGAAAAAGCGAAGGAAACCGAGAAATACTTCTTGGGACTCCCGAGTATTGCAAGACTCGCGGAGGAATATAATTCCCCAGAGAATAAGGGAAAAATCTCCTGGGAAAGTCTAGGCAAAGCTGCCTACTTAAAGTCCCAGTTCAAACCACTCAGGACTCCTGAGGAATGTGCCACAATGTTATGGGAATGGACCTAGAATCTTATGGTCCATGACTATAGACAATCAAACCTTAGCCCCTTCAACTTTATTTCTTTGTCAAACCCCATGCCAAGCTTTCCCACTGGGTTTTGGTGCTGGCTGGGGGATTTGTTGAGTTTCAAGGGACTTCCTTTGACCATTATGATTTTTATATTAGATAGTTAGAAGTCATATGATGTATAAGGCAGATGCTGGAACTGTTCTCGATCATAAAATATACAATCTCAGACTATCACCCAGTGATTGTAACTGTCATCCCAGTGTGCCACCACCTGTAAACCTTCCCTGTAACATCTGACTTGGTCCATATTGATGTCTACATCAATATTCTTACAATCCATGAGGAAGCCTCAACGACCCAGTGAGTGCTCAGACACCAGACCTCACCCTTCCTGCTCCCACCCCCCCACTGGGTGGTTGAGCTCCCATTCCTACCCTTCCTGTAGTACCCTACCGAGTCCTACAACCCTTCCTCCCTTCTTGGGAGGGAGAAGTGACCCAGGCAGCCCCAGGATGCCTGGCCACGTACCCACGGGCCCAAATTCCCACGGTCACTCACTACCGTGCACTGGTCAACCAACCTGCCTGTCCCAACAAATCCCGCTACCGGTACGCTCCCTTGAGCGCCAAGTAACCGATAGACAACCACTGGGCTACTCCCTCAAGGAGTGCCAACTACCCACGCTACCGGTACGCTCACATGAGCGCCAAGTCACTGCTAGCCAACTGTTAGATGGCTCCCTCAAGGAGCCCCCATCATACCCACTGCTGGTACGCTCCTTGGAGCGCCAAGTTGCCACTAGCCAACTGTTAGGTGGCTCCCTCAAGGAGCCCCCATTATACCCGCTGCCAGTACGCTCCTCAGAGTGCCAAGTTACCATTAGCATGACACCACACCCGCTGCCGGTACGCTCCTCGGAGCGCCAAGTTACCGTTAGTACACCCGGTCTCAGATCTCCTCCTGCTCTCCCTTCAACGGCTATGCAGTCACCTCTATCTGTGAGCAGAACGGCTCAGGTTGGGTTCCCCGGAACCCATTCCTGTAACAGGCATGGTCTGGAGGAACCACTACCTGTCAGGGCACACCCACCCGACCCGGCTCCACCCACCCTCACCCGGTATCCCGCTCACCTCTATTCCTCACCCTTCATCACTCTTCCTCATTTGTTGTTCTTCCTTTTGTCCTTTTGTTCTTTCTTCTATCTTTATCTACATGGATGACCTTTCCCCATATCTATGTATTATTGACCTGCCTGTGATGCATGCACAACACACCCAGCCCTGGATGACCTGGATGGCCTCACAGTGCCACCCAGCACATGTGCATGCAGCACACACCCTCAGGATCCCCCACAGGGACACCCAGATGACTGCGGCTGTATGTGGGGTGACATGGCAAACCTCATGTGACCCAAGTCACATGTACATAAAGGTACCTGGGGTGGGAACCAAAGAAGTAACCTTCTTCTCATGGTTCCCACTTCAGGTAAGTAGCATAGTTTCCCCTTTTAATAACAACTCACGATTCCCACTTCAGTCTGAGTGGCCAGGGACCATCGTCCCACATCAGGCCCATCAGTATGCACACCTGCTCCACACCCTGCAACAGCCTCAGTGCCGGGCATTACACCCAGGCCCCCTCAACCCCAGACGCATCCCTGACACTACCTTCCTATTACGGAAGAAAACTGGCCTCAAAAACTGAGGCCAAAAAGTCCCCTGAAAGCAACCCAGTAGCCCCCTACAAGGCTATCAAGCCAAAGGGCACTGGTCCGAGAAGGGGCTAGGAGTCGGGTACCTATAGATGAACCTCCCATCAAACAGATGAAGATTCCCAGTGTTGGAGGAACCGTGTGCTATGGGAGGCCGGACAAGTTTCCGTACAGCCACATTCCCACGGTAGCGTGACTACTTGGTCACAACACCTTTTCTTCTTACTTATTTTGGTCATTTCGGACTTATCCGCGAAGTCCACAAACTATATTCATTCATTTGGATTAGTTTCCTTTTTCCCTCAGTTCTCGCGCATTAGCTTGAGACTGAGGTTAGTTACAACATTCTTTTACTCTGATTTCTTATACATTGTAACTCATTGTATATTACCTTATAGCTTTAGCATTAGGTAATATTATAGTTCTTGCACATTAGCTTGAGACTGAGCTTTAGCATTAGAGCAAGCGGTTATTCCGTTACCCAGTACCCTGGGTAATCCCGAAAAGGATTAGGCCTAAAAGAGCCATGAAGCACTACCAAGTGCCCCTCATCCCGCTCTTGTAAAAATGGAAGTGCACCAGGAAAGTGTGTTACCTGAGAGCAACTCCTAAATAAATACTAATAACTACACTACATAGTGGTTCTCTCCCACACTGCAGGCGCACCTACTACCCCTTCCCCACTGCCTAGCCCAACCACCATGCACTACAGAACACCCCAACAGTGTCCAGCGCACTCGATGTGGATATGGTAGCACACATCTCCAGGAACGGCCCCATCCCTGGGGTGAACCCCCAATACTCTACGCTCCCTGTATCTCTCAGCAATCACATGTGCCCCCCCCGGCCCCCAGGTGCCCACTGTCACGGCCGTGCATTCTGGCCTGTTAGCCACCTGTCCCGATGCTGCCCAAGCCCATTCCCACTATGCAAGCATGAGCGTGAGCCCCAACCTCAGCCCTATCCTCCCTGAGGACTCCCTGCTCATTCCCCCACTTGCCCTAGGCTCCCCTGCACCTGGCTGACTCCCCCACAGCCACACCAACCTTCCTGCCCCGAGTCTGCCTCCGGCACTGTGCCCAGCGCAACTCCTCTACCCCACCCACTTGGCCCCTACAGGGCCACTACCATTCCTGCACCCAACTCCGGCCCAACTCCGAGTCCAGTGCCGCTACGATACCATTGCCGCTATTGCAGCCCTACACTCCTTCCTTTATTTATCTGTTATTGTTTGTTTTGACCCTCGGTCATTGCCGGCCGCTGTGTGGCCAACCCCGCTCCTTGTTCCCTTTTGCTTCCGGACCCTTCGGCCTTTGGCCCAGGTCCGCTTCAATTCATTCTGCCTTCATATATATATCCTGTATACTACATTATAGTACTTTAGCTCTAATATCGATTTGACCACAACCTCTCAAGTCCTGACCCCAACAAGGCAACCCCAGTGAGTCTGAAATGAGGGCCACAAGACAGCTAGGGGGCACAGCACTCCTTTAGAGTCGCTGAGGCCAAATGCCCTACCCTCGGGCCTTGTTCGTGGCATCATGGCCATCGCGGCCTATAGCGGCCTGCAACAGCGACCTTCGGTGCCGACCCTGGACCAGTGTCTAACACCCACAAGCTCTACATCTGAAACTCTGAAACACCTCCGGTCCCCGGAATCCGCAAAAATCCAAGGCCCTACCCTCACCCCACCCTGTGTCATGTTCTGGGTCCCTGCTAACACCAACGACCCTTTCCTTGCAAATTACAATGCCTCAGTAGCTGTAACTCTACCCATTAACAACCGCCCAATTACTGCTACAATCGACACCAACAGCTCAACCATCGCCCCCTGCATAACTTGCTCCCCTGCACCCATGGACACCCCCACACAGGCCACCGCCACCGCTCTAAGACCCCTAGATGACAACCTGGAGTATAACTACATCAACCTCACAGGAGAGCTGGCTAACTTCCGCACCCACGGAGCCTGCCCAGCCTGCATCCTAGCAAACATTGATGAAACCCACTTCAACCAGTGGATTACAACTCCGAGAGCAATCCTAATCTACCCCCTCAATGCTAAACATAACCCCGAGAACGACCACAAGATGAGGGACGACCTCACAATCTTCCTAACCAGAGCTTTCCCCTTATTTGCCCCCTTTATCAAAGTCTTCCCCCATTGCCAAAGGATACGACCCCACTGGGGCTCCCTGGGGCTTCCTAATTGAGGGTCTCCACCCCTCCCATGCCCACCTTCTGGTGACCAGACACCTCTGGATGAGCTGCTCTATTTGCTTCATCGCCATCGAGCTGGCCACCTATTGCCCAACAAGCTATGTCATGACCCTTAAAGACTTAGGTGCGAACCTTGATGAAAGCGTGGTTGTTGCCAATGTGGTAGCCCAGAAAATCCAAGAACCAAACTCAATATTCAAAACCTTCCTCAAAAAAGCCAACATCGACAAGGACGATATCACAAGGATTGCCAACAGCTGTGTTGCAACCCCAAGAGGATATGGCCCTGCTGCCCACCTCTCTCATCTCACTGCAACGGAACACAGGAACCCCCCAACCAACATTGATGCATCCATGTGGGAAATCCACCTCCCATCCCCCTTCTTCCACATCATGGACCGTGCCCCAGGGAATATGAACAATATACATGACTGTCAGGGCAATAGCCCTGAACCCTGAGCCATATGTAATTACAAGATACATATATGTAGTCACATGGGTAAGCGGTGTAGGAGAAATAATGGTCACACTATGGAAACCCATTATGGAAATATGCCAGATAAATCACAAAACCTCATACAACAAGTAGATATGAGAAAATAGAAGGACCTGAATTTTAATGAATTTTAATGAATTATTATGACTATACGCGATAAATCGAAAGAAAGAAAATTAGCAAAAATATTTCAAGCTTAGCATCAACGAGACGGAATTCTCGGGGGAATTTATAGCAAATATTAAACAAAGAATTAGGACAATCGACCAAGATTTGACTATAAAAACAATCAGAGAACCTCCACGGAAGCTACTTTCCCATGTCCGCACACGTAGCCAAGGATGGAAGTACCATGGAACAAGGATTCCTCAGGAACTAATGCAAAATTCAAAGTTGTGTCTATAATAGGAAATGTAGATGTCCCCCAAATGGACCCAATAAAAGTAATTACAGGGGAAACTACCCATAAACAAGGGGGATATAACTAAAACTCCTGCAAAATGAGGACAATGTCTAAAAAAAAGCAAGTGCAAAGACTAACCAGTAACGACCGAGACAAGCTTGATAACCCATTAGAAAGGAAGGGATCTAATCTTAATCCTCCCAAATTTTCGTAATAAAAGGATCATGCATTAATGAGATATCCAATAACGGGAATAGCAACATCAAAAGTCTGAGCTCAGGGAAAAGACGATGTGTGCATAGGATCCATAATTAAAACATACAACGAAATTTACACGGAAATTATGAAAAATGGGGAACTATAGTTATGCAAATTTTCAGCCCAAACGGTCCAGCCATTGTGAAGTTATACCCATGACGGGAATATAGAAATCCGCATCATGTTTAATGACACGTGAGGGTGGCGATGCAAAGGGAACCGGCCGTCGGAACCGAGATCCGCACTTTGGCAGATTGCGAAGACCAATTTCTGTCCAAATAAGGAAGAGCCCGGTCAAAACAAAGCACGGAAAGTGCAAAACAACCTTAGATCATGAGGGAAAAATCTGAAATAAATCACAGAAGCCCATATGAAAGATATAAACACCTGCGCATATCATAAATCCCAAACAATTAAACGGAAACGGCACCCACATACGAACGACTATGGGAACGATGCATGTGATTACTGAATGTGCATGCAAACTTTTGCTAACTCAACGAATACCAGGAAATGGGACACAACTTTAGTACCATTGGAAAGGTGGGAATAAATGAAAAATTATGATACCAAGAACGTGAGAAAAAATTCAGAAATGAATGAGATACAAGGACATGAAGTTAGAAACCTGAAAACGCGCGGGTAGACAGCTTCAAGAGGTCCAGAGCCCTAAATAAAATACATAAAAATATGATATCTTCAAGGACAACCTACTATAACAACGAACAATACATATGGAGGATTAGGATGTGATAATACAAAGGGGAATCAGGGAATATGAACGAAATTCATGAAAACCACTAAACTACGACGGACCATGGCGGGAATTTTAGGGAACGATATTCTAATGAAGTGGAGAGCTATAACACATCCATTTGAGTAATTCTTGACTACTAGCAACTTTTTCTTTCGGTTTTAAACCTGAATAATTCACTCATTTACCATTTCAGTCTCATTTTAACTAAATGTCACTAAATAAAAATGGAATAAATCAGCTGAAGGTCTTGGCACAGCCATACGCATAGTAATGCGAAGTTTGAATTCAGAATCACCGAGTCATAGCAAATTTAATAATAGCTTAGGTGAGGGAGGACAATAAGGATTCTAGGTGCAGTCTGACCGCAGTAGAACTGCAGTTCAGCGCAGCAAAAGCACAGTAGAACTATAGCATGAAAATTTCATTTTTTATTCAGTTTGAGAAAAATACATTGTAAATAAATCCTGTAAATAGAAGGTAGAGCATGAAAAAGGAAGGTGACCCAAGGAGTATAAAAGGGAGACCCTTTCTGCGACTTTTCGCCCCCCTTAGAGGAGTAAGAAAATAGAGTATTATTTTTCTCAAGCATTTCTGGTTGTCACCCCAGTGCGAAAAAGTGATATACAGTTAAGATTGCCACTGTAGTAAAAGGCAGCAATTAAGGAGAGAAATATTTAGATATTTCAACAGGAGAGCTGGTTAACACTCCAGATTTCAAAGTGTAAACACAAAACAGTTATTTTGCTACTGTTAAAACAAGCAATAAAATAAGACAAAAATAAAAACAAACTCAAGGGACACTCCAGACACAATCCAAATCCATTAACTGAATAGAATCTTTGAAACTTCACCAAGTAGAAGATTTAATTCAAGTTAAATTCCAAATTAAACATCGCTACACAGAATTACACCTAGACAAATTAAGAAATTTCAATAAAGAAACAGCTCCACAGGGCTCGGTTTATCTGTAAGTCAATTCCCAGGAACTTTAAAACTAACCCATAAAAATAGAATTAGCCAAAACACTCGGATTGGTACTATATTTACAATAAATACTACTAGTACACTTCCCCATCCTAACTAAAGAACCAGGGAACAGCTTGGTGGTGGTCTCGTTTGAACCTCCCAACTGACCTTCCTTCGTTCTCTCCTTCAGCAGTAACTCCCATTAACTGCTTACACACACCATAAAATACACATCTTTGTATCACTTATGGCTCTGTGTGCTGAGCTACCCCACTGAGACCTCACAACAACCAATGGACTGGCCTCTTCAAACTCTCAACCTTCTCAGGCGACACAACTGGAAATGGCTGCACAGTTGGCAGTCTAATCTATTGCCACACATGCAAGGTGTCAGGGCACACCCACTGACCCGGGTCCACCCAGGTCCACCTGGCCACACCTCACCCACTGCCCCGCTGCCCATCCTTCTCCTCCCTCCTTCCCTCCTCTTTCTTTCTTCTCTCTCTCTTCTCTTTTCTTTATTTCATTCTTCCCACCATTCTCCTCCTGTTTATTCTTTCTATTTACATGGACTGCTTTCCCTTGCATCAATGTACTATTGACCCACCTGGCCCAGACACCCTGGACAGCTCCCCGCTGTGCCCAGCACACGTGCCTGCACTGGATGCCCTTGGGATCCCCCATGGGGACACCTGGATGGCTATGGCTGTCTCCAAGGATGACATGGCATCCATCATGTGACTCAAGCCACATGTACATAAATGTACCTGAAGTGGGAACCAAAAAAGTAACCTTCTTCTCACCTTTTCCACTTCAGTCTGAGTGGCCAGGGACAGCTGTCCCATATCAGGCCTGCCAGTACACATGCCCAATCTACCCCCTGCAAGGTCCTCAGCACCAGGTGCTATACCCGGACCCCCTCAACCCCGGACATGTCCCTGACACAAGGCCATCAATCACATCTTCTCTGTCTGCCTGATTCATGACCACTATGCATGGCACAAGCTCAACTCATCTGTGGGAAAGCCAGAACCCGGCCCCTCTACTCCCCAGTCCCCCCCACCCAACCGCAATGGGAAACCCTGTGGAAGAGGCAGAGGAAAAGGAAGAGGCCTAGGCCCCAGCAACCACACCTGGTCCTAATACCTGTCCCCACCCACTGTAAAACCTGGCCCAGTCCTTCCTTCCTTCCCCTCCCTCAACCTCTAAACAAGAGAGAATATAGTCCGGCCCCCCAATCAGCTGCTAGCTACTCCTTGTAATTACATCATGGCTATCCTTCTTTTTTCCTCCTCCTTTTACCTTCCCAAAATACAATCCCCCTCTCACATTTAACACTAACCAAAAAGATACAGAAAAACTAACCCCACTTAGTGTTGAAGTGTGAAGCATGAAGCTAGAGGTAATTCCGAAATAATAGAAAAGGATGGTGGCTGTCTGGGCAAGTCCCTCACCCGGCTGTGGGAATGTGGCTGTGTGAAAACTCACCCGGCCACAGCTCCCCTAGCACACTGTTCCTCCAACACCTGGACCATGAGTGCTAAGAATAGCCAGGTTGGTTCCACCATAACAGATGGTATCGTGGCCTCAGCAACCGCAATCCTGTGCAACCCTCCTGCCCCAAAAACAATGCCATGCTGTCATATCCGTGCATACCCGACCCTGACCCGACTTCCGGACCTCCACCCTCTTCCCTCTCCGACCCTATCTCCGTCCGCTCCGATACTCACCTTCGGACCTGACTACTCTCCTTTCCGCCACTCCCTCTCCCTTACCTTTCCCCTCTCTCCCCCCTCTGTTACTCCTCCGCCACCCTTCCGCCAAGTTACGACCTTCCACTGCTGTCCCGTACTTCGCACTCGGACACCGCTCGTACCTTGCTCCGAGCCTCCGTCATAGTCCCTACCTCGGACTTTGACTCCACCTCGGTCTTAGTCCATTGCATTGGTGACCTCATACTACGTAAACACCATTGCCAATATCCCTCGGACTTTCAACCCCACCTCTGTAACCTCCGTAACCTCCGCAACCCCCAAGCTTCGCGGATCGCCTTCGGCACTCTTGCCGCTTGTAATGTATTTCTTGCGTTTTCCCCTCATCCCTATTTGGACTA